AGTCTTTAGCTCCAGGCCTGTCGGGACAGCCAGGATTTAAGGGCTATGCGGAAGGTCTGGAGGGTGGTGAGTGTACGAATCTCCATGGGGAGTTCGTTCCAGAGGGTCGGAGCAGCCACCGAGAAGGCTCTCCTCCGGGTAGTTGCCAGTCGATGTCTATTTTTGAGTTGATTCAGTCTTGAAAACATGCAGTTGTCTTCAGCTGTATCTTGGTTGAAATTTCTGTAATTCAACCAAGCAACAGCTGAAGACAGCTGCTTGAATTCAGAATGAATCAACCCATTTAATCTATGTGACCACTTTAAAAAAAATAGATGTCCCATATTCCTTTGCAACTTTCAGCAAGGATTGTGTACTGAGTGAGTTCTTAGTACTTTTCTCAAACCAGCCTATACTTTTTTACTGCCTCATCCAGTTCACATAGATATATTTCTTGCTTTGGATATCATTTTCAACTTCTTGTCTCTTCTCTGACATCATCATTCTCCAAATGCTATGTAGACTTAACTTCTTCTAGAAGAATCTTTCTGAATCCATATCCTGAACTGAGTGGTTGCCATGGGCTCCATTATTTATACAGGCCTAATAATGTATGTATGTATGTATGTATGTATGTATGTATGTATGTATGTATGTATGTATTCAGATAGTCCAAACCACCTACAACACTACAGCTTTTAGTTGTCCAGCTTGTATGAATAGTCACATCATATCCAAATATTTTATTAATTTTAGGTTCAAATAGAACCATTTTAAAAATTAATTACATAGTATCTGGGGAGATAGTTATGAAAGGAATGGAAATTACTTCTTAATTGAACAGGATTCACTAAACAAGGGAGCCCCAGGTGTTTGGTTTTTTTTGGTAAATGGTTATATTTGGGATTTTGTAAGCATGTCATGGGTTACTAGGGCTATTCTGAGAGAGCCGGGACTGTCCATTCATGAAATGGTTGCTACAGTGCCATAACAATAATTTTAAAAATATATTTTTTAAAAAAATATTACTATTTTAAAAATAATTTCACTTGAAAAGAAAAGCTGCGAGTGAAGATAGAAGAACAGGGAACTCTGAGACCCAAGAAACATGTTGATAAGTGTTATATAGGGAACAGCAGAACTTGATCTGATAATTGTCACCATCTCTGCTGGGCTAAAAATATAGATCTATAAAGCAGTTAAGGTTGTTTTCACTTTGTGGAGGTATGTGCACACAAGCATACAGGTATCTTTAGTGATCTGTGGCATTTTTTTCTATATACACCAGGAGTGTCCAACCTTGGCAACTTTAATATTTATGGACTTCAACTCCCAGAATTCTTAAATTTGCCAAGACTGTATACATTTAATCTCACATGTTCACAATTACACATGTCAAGAGGATTTTTCAAGTCATTTAGAGATATGGTATCAGTACAAATATGTTTCTTTGACAAGTATTTGCTGACATCCATTTGACTGAAAAAGAATGTTTTTATGATACCTTACTTTGCCATCTTTCTATGAGTTAAGTTTTTAGAAGCATTTCTCTAGAGAAAAATACTTCCATTAAAAATATTTTTCTCTCT